GTCAGTCGCGGCGTGCCCCAACATTCTTCTATGGCCAGAATATCCAGGGGCGGGGGGTGACGTATCTCTCGGTTGTGCTGCGCCCGCCAGGCTCCCGGCTGAGGCAGCCACCTGTAGCTTCACCTGCCGGTCCTCGGCTGGGGTCGTGTCACCCTCAGCTGCTGCCCCTCCCTCTCCCCGCAGCCCCCACCCCTCACCCGAATTGCACGCCCGCCGCTGTTAGTATGGATATCTTTGTCCGGCCCGACCCCTTATTTGTCACCGGCAGGCTCTTCGTGCCGTTGCATCTTTGCGCTAGATGCGGCGGCCGCGTATGTGAACTGATAACGTTTCAGTCGTGGAAGCATTCGCTGCACGAAAGACGAGCAAACGATGCTAAGAGACGGGAAGCACGAGTGATGACATGAATTGGATGGAGGAAAATTAGCACATAATTGTTTGGAGCAGTTTGACTACCAGCCTCATCCAGGGGTGAAATATTAACTAATTTCCATTCTGATGGTTCAGTGCCAGACACAATGGAAGCGTTTAAATGTCATAAGTGGTGTCGACTCGCTAAAAACATGAGACGTAACATGGATAGATTACTACTACCATCGTTATGTGCCTTGGACGCACCCATGCTTCTGAGCGCCCAGCCCAGTTCCTGGGGTTTAGCAGGCTCCATCGAGTTGACGCCGCTGCACACCGCGAGGTCACTTGTAGTACTTTAGTAAGTAGGCATACATGAAAAATAGCTCATGTTTTTGTTACTGATGACGGTCAATCTTGAAAGCCTAAGTAATCTTAAAGACTTGTTAACCTACGAAAAATACTTGCTAAAGAATTATACGATGTGTTGGGGCTTGAGGCCAAATAATACATACGTGAGTGTTTTCTCGCTTGCGCTACAAATGTGGCTCTGTTTCCAAGGAGAATGGGCTTATTTAAAATCAACTGCGAGCGCAGAGCTATAAATATCTAGCAGCACCCGTGGCGTGCATCAATTTGCATGAGTGATCTTTATTCATGCATTGTTGAGGGACGTATAGTCTACAGATGACAAATAGCCTGATTATGAACACGTGGTCTGAGCCACTCGGCGTACCCCAGCCGCATACGAAGCCAGAGCTTTGTCCCTTCCTGGTTTAAAAGGCCGCGCCGACGGCCATCTCGGTACACAGACACCTCTCACCAGCAGCCATGCGCTTCACTGCCCTGCTGGCTCTGCTGTTGGTGGCGTTCGAAGGAGGCCGTGCTGCGACCTTGCTCCCCTCTCCCTCGCTGGTGACCGCTGCCGGTGGCAGGGGACAGTGGATGGAGGGTAGTTGGGCGTGACCGGGCTTCACGCTGACGTCCGGGCGCCATCGGGCGTCCCCTTGTTACCGGGCGCGCTTGGCGAGCCCGGCGCGACAAGGCAGCCAACCGGGTTTCTGGAGGGGACCTGGCGACCGTGCTAGCGAGGAGGCCCTCCCACTGCCCCGAAGGCGTGTGGCAGCTCCCCCAGGCCGCTCAGGCCTGTGGAAATGTCCGCCTAATGTACCTCCGCCGCCGCCGCTACCGAAGACCACGACTTCGCCGGCGCCCTACGTACTTCGAATGGAACGCCCGCAATAGCTTGGCCCGCCGAGGCCTATTTCGCCGTGAGATGGTGGTAGACCCCGGATTGGCCCGACAACCCACCCTGTTTTATTGGGAGCGGATTCTGAAGACACGGCCGACATTTATGCTGGCCTCTGGCGATGCTGAGTTTTTTAAGCCTTGCGGTATTTTAAAGTCCCCCCCCCCCTTATTCCGTCAGCCTCTTCACAGTGAAACTGTAGAGGCGTGAGGTTAAGCATCCAGGACTCGCAGACAATTTCAAGTGTGCACTGCCCCGGTAGCCTTGTGTCACTAGAAGACAAGGCTGGCGCCTGGTACGACCTCCAGCGTGCAAGGGTACATGACATGTCAGCAGGCACCGTTTCTCGCGGTGGCGTCCTACTAGCTCTGCACAGTGTGTCCACAAAGCAACTAGTGTTAAGAACAGACTTGCCAGCCGTTGCAACAATGGCGAAATGAAACCATCGCACCATAACTGTCTGGTCAATCTACTTACGACCTGTGGCCCCGTTTCCATCTGCAGGAGCTCGTGGCGTAGTCTCCCAACTCCCTTCCCCTTGTCCTGATTTTAGGCGATTTTAATGCACATCATACTGTGTGTGCGGGGGGGGGCTTCCAGGGACACTCGCGGTAAGTTATGTCAGGTTTTTGTACGTGACCAAGGCTTATGTGCTTTAAACACAGGAACAAGGACGCATTTTTCACGGCCATCAGGACGATCGTCAGCGTTAGACCTAAGCATCTGTAGTCCGCAGTTTGTACTACACTTCCGTTGGGATCCCTCGCGGGTGACCATGTTCCGGTCTAGATCCATTACCGTGATGGTACTGTTCTTCGTTCCCGGCTTCACCGGTGGAATTTCAAAGAAGGCGGACTGGAGCGGATTTGGGACCCTGCCTGGATGAATTATTTTCTCGCCATGTCGACTCTGTGAGTCTGACTGCGGAAGATTTTACGCCTTTTGTTTTGAACGCGGCGAAAGGATGCATTCTGCGTACCTATGGTTTCTTCGTCGTACCTCTGTATCTTGGATGAACGACGGTTATTGAGACACTTTTCGCGCGCGTCCGAGAGATTTTAGGACTTTACCAGCACGACAATGAACCAAACCTCGTGGTGTTCAGGCGAGTCGGCGAGGCTGCACGCCGCACTGTGCGAGAGGCGAAACATGAATGATGACGCAGCTACGTCAGCTCACTGAATCGCTTATGCCGAGGTCGCACGTCTGGGCCCGTATTAAAAGAATCGTCGTGTTGTAGCCCATCATTTTCACTTCACGTCCTGCGAGCATCTAATGAGGACATCACGCACCCTAGCGATGTCTTATAGACCGTTGGGGTCCCTTTGCGGTCAGAGAGCCATGATGAGTGTCGTTAGGGGCCATCTTTCGTCATAGAGGCTGTTGGTAATGGATGTCTGCTTGTGTACAATGCTTACCTTGCCAAACCGGCGCCGAAATGACACTTTCGACCCGCGGTTGCTTTGCGATGCAGGGAATGATGTGAACCTTCGGAAGTCATTGTTTATACAGGGGAAAGTACTGACGCACAAGTATTTTACCGTGACAGGAACTTCAAGCGGCCATTCGCCCAGTGCGTAGTGTTGCGGAAGGACCCGACTTCTTCCACTGTAACATGCTACGGCAGTTTCCTTCCCGTGCACTGCGAGCGCTGCTGGCACTTTTCAACTGCTTATGGGAGTCGAGAATGGGTGGTCATCTTGTTGCGGGAGTCAGGAACGGTGTGTGGATGGTGTGGGTCCAGTGGTGGCCAACTGACCGTTTCATTTGCTACAGCGTGTCCGTCTTTGTTCCGCAGGGCGCACGTGCCGACCCAGTCCAATGTGATAGAGTACGGCGAGAGCGATGCGGACGTGGGTGAGCGCGAGTGGTACTTCAAAGCGGCCGACGCCGACAAACAGGACCGACAGGAACCGCACAGCTTCAAGGAGGTCAGTAAGGACGCAGGGGTTAAGGAGGTCAGTAGGGACACAGGGGTCAAGGAGGTCAATAGGGACACAGGAGTCAAGGAAGTCAGTGGTCGGAGCGCCGGGTCGAGGACCGGTATAGACACGACATCTCCGGGAGCAAGGAGTCATGGCGCTCCATTTGCGGCCAAAGAGCCACGATGAACGTCGTTATCCTCTCGGGGCGTAGCGACCCTGCCGGTAGGTGAGCTCCTGCTCCTTGTCCCGTCCCAACGCTCTACTTTGGCCAGGATATCCGGGGGCGTGGGGGGCCCGTGGGGCCCCACACGGGTCTAGCGGACTGTCGCTCGCGTTGCGGTTGGGTGCTCCTTGCGGGTTTCCGCTTGGGGCGCCTGGCCGCGCGCAGCGGCTTAAGGGGTCAAGGGGCGGCGGCGCTGAACCTCGGTCAGGACGGGGAGGGTTCTCCCCGGTTACACCTGGCCGTTTGGGAGGCGTCGTTCGCCCCGTATAGCACCGGGGTAGCCCTGGCGGTGACCACCTCCCGAGGGAGTGTTGGGCCGTCCCCCAGTTGGGCTCCGTGGTGGGTGGGGAGCCCCGGTGCCGAAATGAAAACCACCTTTTATGGCTTCTTCTCACCTTAAAAACACCCGTCCTCCGAAAGGGGGATTGACCTCGATAACCCCAGGATGCAGATACGAATCTGTGCCCCCCCCCCCCGGTCCACGGATCCTGATCTTCGGTAGTGAAGAGATTAAGCTGGCTTCCCTCTCACCGTTTCAGAGGCGGTACGGTTGCGACAGGGTTTGGGAAAATCATCAGGTGCGACAAGCACAGGGATGGAAAAATAGAAGTAGAGTTCGCTAGTGGTCTGGAGGCGAGTAGGGCCATGGCAGCTAAGAAATTTACGTAAAGTGTTCGGGATGAGACTGGAAAGCATGAAAAGACCGTGGCAATATCAGCAATACTACGTAAGACCAAAAATTCGTCCAGGGGCGTAGTCAATTACTTTGGTCTTCATGACGTGGCCGATGACGAGATAGTCGAGGAACTTTCAGAGTTTGGCGTGACGAGCGCTCGTAGGATTCTCGTCAGACGGGGAGGAGAACTAATGCCCACCAACCACCTCATTCTGACGTTTAATTCCACCGATTTGCCGACTGATATTCGTGTAGGATACGTTCGAGTGAAGGCTCGACCGTATGTGCCTAACCCCATGCGGTGCTACCAATGCCAGCAATTCGGCCACACCAAGCTCCACTGTCGTAACCTCCCAGCATGTGGTAAATGTGCGTCATCTGAGCACACAAGCGAAGTTTGCACCTCTGCTGAACCCCACTGCGTCAACTGCGGCAAGGACCAAGTCCCACACACGACGTACGACCGTACATGCCCGGCCTATGCGAAAGAAAAGGAGATTTTGTTAATCAAAACCTCTAAAAACGTCTCTTTTCGTGAAGCTCATGAACTTTACAACGACAGTCACCCAAAAATATCGTATGCGTCCAAAGTGAGAACTTCGTTGCCACAAAGTAATGCCATCGAACACATGACGGCAGTTCAGTTCGTGGGACTTCTGAGGTCGTTTGGCCTGTAGGTTGTTCCTTCGGTCCGAACGCCCGACTCCCAGCCGGTACTCCAAGCTCCCTCACCGCTGATCGAGGAGTCGGTGAACACCGCTCTGCCGGCCTCCTCGGTCGCGCGCCGGATCACCAGCGGGCGGCGGTTGGACGACGGCTCGGCGTGGTCGGAGTCCCCGCGCGCCGCCGGTCGTTCCTTCGTCTGCGACTCAATCGGTCCCTTCGCTACAGACGCCTCTTGCCAGTGCCTGTGAGCGTGTGACTGAGACGCTGGAGCGCCAGGGAGCTGACAGGCGCGCCCGCGGGGCCAAGCGAGCGCGCTTGGCCGAACTGGAGCGCGCTAAGGCGGCAAGCCGTCTGTCCGGGACAGGCCAGGAGCCCGTCACCCGAAACAGTACTCCATCGCCACGGAAGCCGGTGGAGACCCCCACTGGTCCCTTGAACCCCGGTAGAGGCCCACCGATAAGCCCTCCCCCGCCTCCACCCCGGACTGGGTACACTGGCGTAATGTGTGCCCCAGCCGGCCACCCTTCTCCATCTGATGGAGCGGAGCCCAAGGGTTCGTCCTAGGGTGGGGCACGGCCCCCCCGGAGTTAAACCGTAGCCCTAGGTCTGAAGCGTCTGGGCTTACTACTGACGCTGTCGAGTTCTTTTAAGCCGGGACCTGTTTTAGCCTTTCACATCTTACCCCCTTTTTTAATGCGTCCTTTTACAGGCGTTTTTACAGTGGAGCTGTAGAGGAGTAAGAGCGAACGCCCTCAGATCTCGAGGCTGTCGTCAGCAGGGTCTCTCCTGCAGCCGTGGCGCTGCAAGAAACCAAGCTAGCCCCTGAACATTTCTGCTCCTTGAAAGGATATGCGATGTTTCGCAACGACGTGTTGTGGCGTGACGTGTTGTTTAACGTGACGTGAGCATTGCTCACGGTGGCGTCCTCCTAGGCAGTTCATCATAGCGTGCTAGCGAGGAGGCTAAGCTTGCGGTCCACACTTCAGGTTGTGGCCGTGCGGCTTTATTTCAATCATGGACACATCACTGTTTGTTCACTTTACCTTCCACCAGGCATCGCTGTTCCGTGAGTGCACCTTAGATGTTTGCTGTCTGAACTGCCTCCACCACTTTTTGTTCTAGGCGATTTCAATGCGCATCACACCGCTTGGGGGTGTGACGTCACCAATGCTCGTGGGAGGCTGTGTGAGAATTTTATCCAAGGTGCTTCACTATGTGTTTTAAACACAGGAACTTCTACACATTTTACAATGCCATCCGGTCAGACGTCAGCGCTAGACCTAAGCCTCTCCAGTCCCCAGCTCGTCCAACACTTCGAGTGGAGTGTCGGAGATGACCCAATGGGAAGCGACCACTTCCCAGTGTGGGTCCGGTTTAAGAGAGGTGGGGCGTTGGGTGTTAGGCCACAACGCTGGAATTTTAAGAAAGCGGACTGGTGCGAATTTGATGACTCGGCTCGACGAATCGTTTGTAACCGAGCCTGTGAGGGACGGCACCCTCTATTGAGGTTTTTACTCACAGACTTTTAGAGTGTGCCAACAGTTGTATCCAACGCACGTCTGGTGCTCCCCGACGCACTCCTGCTCCGTGGTGGACGGAGGAGTGTCGGATGCGCCATCCGGGCGCGTAAACGTGCGTCTCGGGCTTTCGACGCCAGGAGCAGTACAGAAAACCTGATAGCCTTTAAGAAGGCGAGAGCTCTTGCTCGGCGCACCGTAAGGGAGGCGAAGCGTGCCTCCTGGCATGTTTACGTGAGTACGCTGATCCGGTTCACGCCAACATCGCAGGTTTGGTCTCGAATTAAGCGCATATCGGGGCAGTTTTAATCCATGGCTCTTCCGGTGCTATGCGTGAACGGACAGGCCGTGACGCACCCGTTGGAATGTTGCGAACGAGATTGCCCGGGCGCTGGCCTACCGCAGCGAAGGTGGCAACACTAACCCACAGTTTGTGCGGCACCGGACGCAACGTGAGCAATCCGCAGTGGATTGTTCGACGAGTGAGCTACATTCCTATAATGATCTATTCACCCTAGTCGAGTTGGAATGGGCGATTGCAAGGCTTTGCAGCGTGTCAGAAGGTCCCGACGCTATGCACAACGACATGCTCCAGCATTTGCCGCCCTGCGTGCTTCGCGCTCTCTTAGCGGTATTTAATGCGCTGTGGGCCAGTGGTGACTTGCCAGACTCTTGGCGAGAAGCTACTGTCGTTCCTTTTTAAAACCAGGTTAAAGTGGACTAGATCCTTTACACTATAAACCTATTTCTTTCACTTCGTCGCTCTGTAAGTTAATGGAAACAATGGTTAAGGTCCGTTTAACTTGGTTTTTATAACATCACGGCGCTTTTAGAAACACCCAGTGTGGTTTTAGAAAGAATCGCAGCACAGCGGACAATCTTCTAGTTCTTTACACTGCGATTCGTATGGGATTTAAAACAAACCGACACATAGGCGCAGTGTTCTTTGACATAGAGGGCGCCTATGACACCACATGGCGTCAAGGCATCCTTCTCAAGCTATACAGGCACGGTATACGCGGCAATATGGACACATTTCTTCAAAACTTTCTAGTTGACCGTTCTTTCCGTGTCCGTGTTGGAAACGCACTCTCTGAGAGGCATGTTCAAGCTAACGGTGTGCCCCAAAGCGGCGTTCTCAGCGTAGCTTTGTTCGCCGTTATGATCAACGACATCGGGATTGGGCTGCCGCAGTCTGTAGGTCGTGCCCTTTTTGTTGATGATTTTACCATTTGGACTAGCGCAGCAAGAGCACCATCGATGGAACGCCAACTCCACTTAGCTGTTGACCGCGTTGAGAAGTGGGGTACCATGAACGGGTTCAGGTTTTCACGTAGCAAGACTGTAGCCATGCATTTTTGCCGTAGCCGGCAATGCGGTGACCTGTCTATCCGTCTGTATGGGCAATGCATCCCAACTGAGCCTGTGGCTAGATACCTTGGGGTATACTTTGACCGCCGACTTACATGTAAGGCACATCTTAGAACGCTACGTGAACGCTGTTTTAAATCTTTGAACGTATTAAAACGTGTTTCGCGCACATCGTATGGCGGAGATCGGAGCACGCTTTAGCTGCTGTGTCGGGCAATCACGCGCTCTAAGCTGGACTATGCATGCTTTATTTATGAAAGCGCGTGTGAGCCCACGAGACGAATCATTGACACCATCCATCACACTGCTATACGTGCCATCACAGGGGCGTTCCGTACATCTCCTACCCGAAGCCTCCTGGTAGAATCGCACGAGCCGCCGTTTCAGCGAGGAGGAAAATGCTCGGCATGCGTTACACACCTAAGCTGCGACAGTTTCCGTGGCATCCCGCATATCACGCCGTCTTTCCGCGGCCTGCTGTGCCGTTTGTTCGCCATGCACCTCGGGCGCATGCGGTGACCTTTGGGTCCCGGATACAAGCCTTACTGCGGGAAAAC